CCAGGATTGCTTCATTAGGTTTATTGTCATCTAAACACTGCAACATCCTCCTGATCATTGTCTTGCGATAATGAATAATGAAATTTAACGGTCTGGATGATGCCTAGGTCTGCCGGTTGTAACTTGCTTGTGCAGTTGGGCGGAAAGAAGATGACCTTTGCGTTTGTCAGCCCATTGACAATAACATATGAAGTACAATTATCCACGGATAAGAAAATATGGCGGTTTGCCACTCTCATTTGTCGGTCTAACTGACGCACCCATTTTTCGAATAGAACACTGTCCATCCAGGCTTTCTTTTGAGACTCATAGGTTACAGGAAGTAAGTTCATGTTACTGTTCCTAAAGCACCTGGGTCTGGCATATTTTTCTATCACAAGTAGGGATAGCTTCTCAGTGCCATCCTGGTTGTAGGCCACAAGGACTGTCACACGCTCTTTACTTTTCTTCCCACCAGTGCACTTTTCTCCCCTCACGTTTAGCGTTTGAGTGAGAGTGGCTTTCCACATAAATCCTGTTATGTCAGCTTTGAAGCGATCCTTCATACTGTAGCTGCAGTGCGGCAAATATCTGGGAGACGCTCGCTCTAAGTGCCGAAAATAGCAGGATCTACGCTTTTCTCTTCATTACATTCAGCCTGGCCTGTGATTCCCAGCCTTTCCTTGAATTTTTCTAGAAAGCCATTGCTTGCCTTAAAGTTCTCATATCCCAACTTTTGGGAAAAATGTAAGGCTCGTTCTTGTAAAAGTGTTCCACTAACTGGGATGTTCAAACCTCGAACTTTCCGGAATAACATGCAGATAATGCCTTGTCCAGATCTGGAAAAGTCGACTGTTTCATTTTCTTTCGTTTGTCCGTATATAATCCTCCTTCATAAGCATTAATGATTTCGTCCTTTTTCTTCATATATGTGGAGATAGCAGACTGAGACAAAGGAAGGTCAAAACGTGTTTAGCCGCAGTGTGTTTCTCTCCATCCTTGGCTGCCTAGACTACTTTACATTTCTCTTCCAACGTCAGAACTCTTCTCTTCTTGGTCTCTTTTTTCCCAGACTGCGACCGCGATGAGGAAGCAATGGGAGNTCGCACGAAGTACTGGAATTTAATTAACCGAATGAATGCACAGCAGTTTCAACATTCACAGGCTTGTGGTCTGCTGGTTTACGCTGACCTCACTTTTTTTCTGACATTAATGTAGATTACTACAAAGCGATTGTGTTAGAGAGCAATGAGCACAACAACATACTCATTTCGAAGCAGTATTCGAGGCTACCATGCGCATCAGGATATCGTAGTTGTTGGTGAAGTTCTGGATTGTTCAGTAAGTAAGAGCTTTGATTTCCGCCAAGGATGTGATTACAATACTTTGCTTATGATCGAAACGAGTTTATACAAATCTATTTCCACACCACGACCCGGATAACCCACGCGATAATCATGCCATTACCGTTAAACGGGTTCAAGGCCGGGAAGGGAAGCAAGAGATCGTGGGCCATGTGCCACTGACACTTTCACGTGTGTTTCACTTGTTTTTAAATCATGGTGGACAAATTTCAGTGGAAGTCACTGGCAAACGGAAAAACGAAGGCATTGGACTGGAAATTCCTGTCACTTACACCTTTTACCACAAGAAGCCGTCAAAAATAACGAAGTTATATAGAAATAATAGAGAGACATAGAGGATAAGGCGGATCTGTAGATGTGTTCATGATAGTGTCAGTGTGGACATTGATTTCATAATGAGCGGTTAACTGTGAAGTTGCTCTTCTTGTTGCAGAATCAAAGAATTTTGATTGTTGTTGGTCTGTTTCGCATGTCTTATGTCAGGAGTTGACATTTGTTCTTTATATCGACCGGGTATTTCTATACCTGTAGGCTTCTGGATTGTGTTCGCTGTAACGAGGATTTCGTTATATCGAGGTTGGTTACATCGAGGTTCTGTCTCATACATTTTACTATAACTTTAGCCAGTTGAAAAGTATCGTTCTGTAATAAAAATGATATTAATAAAAGCATTTATTTACACACGACAATATTACAGCGTAGCCTTTATCTTTTTGGCTCGATAGATGGAATACGAGAAAAGTTTATCAGCTAATAATTTCTATTGTTACCATAGAATAAATTGGATACGTCCGGAAAAGGTGATTGATAATTTTTAATCAGAATAGACCCCACCCTGGGTGAAAATCAGAAAGTATTCAACTTTCGTTGAAATTTGTGATCTGCCTCATAAGGAACGTTTCTTACTTTACCTACAAGACACAAGGCATAGCTCTTCTTACAATGAAAAGTATCTGTGGAAAACAAGTTTGATTTTTGGCATCTTCACCAGTAAGTAATGACCAGTGATTGTTGTTTGACAAGATGATGCTTACCGTTGGTTTGTGATTTATGACAGGATCGGAGAGGGAATATCAAACCTGAAGCAGAATAGTCAACATTGGGTATCATGTGACTCAGACGACGAGCAGGAGTGTGAGTCAGTTTCTGATT